TGGTGAGCATTGCTGTATACCACCGGGACTGAGAACCACAACACCGGGACACGGCAAGCCTCTTCTACAACCTACGGCTCTGCTGCCACGTCACCCCCCCCCCATACGTGGTGAGCATTGCTGTATACCACCGGGACTGAGAACCACAACACCGGGACACGGCAAGCCTCTTCTACAACCTACGGCTCTGCTGCCACGTCCCCCCCATACATGGCGAGCATTGCTGTATACCACCGGGGGTGAGAAGCACAACACCGGGACACGGCAAGCCTCTTCTACAACCTACGGCTCTGCTGCCACGTCCCCCCCATACATGGTGAGCATTGCTGTATACCACCGGGACTGAGAACCACAACACCGGGACACGGCAAGCCTCTTCTACAACCTACGGCTCTGCTGCCACGTCACCCCCCCCCCATACGTGGTGAGCATTGCTGTATACCACCGGGACTGAGAACCACAACACCGGGACACGGCAAGCCTCTTCTACAACCTACGGCTCTGCTGCCACGTCACCCCCCCCCCATACGTGGTGAGCATTGCTGTATACCACCGGGACTGAGAACCACAACACCGGGACACGGCAAGCCTCTTCTACAACCTACGGCTCTGCTGCCACGTCCCCCCCATACATGGTGAGCATTGCTGTATACCACCGGGGGTGGGAAGACTAGGACATGACAGGCTGCACCATTCCAGTGACACTCTCCGGGATTATTTATGTCCTGTATATCACCGCCAGACAAGACGTTCCCCCTTCCCCCACATTCATTCTGGAAGTATATCCAGGTGCCACGCAGATTTGCCCACACGCAGGTCATCCTGAGCCAATGGCGGACATTTCCGGTGATATGGAAATATCTTTCAATGAAATGTCAGAAATATTGTTTGGAAATGTAAATTGTGTGTCCGGCTCTACAATCGGCAACATTGCGAGCAGATTGTACAGTGTGGAGCCGGCTATAGCCGGAGGTCTGATCACACAGATGGTGGCTGAGGATGAAGCGAATGTATCGTGTCCCCATGAGGCGGATTGTCCAATCAGTGTGTGTGTCTTCCTTCTATGTATATACGGGGACAGGAAGTGTGTTGTTCCTGTTCTGGGATTTCACCTCATTTCCTGTCCCAGTGCCAAGAATATGAAAGAAAATAAATAACTTCACGATGAACAACTCGAAATATCATTTCCCTGTAAGATGAGAACCCTCTGACCCATCCATCCCTCCCTCCACCATGTCATATCCCGTGTGCAGGTTCTCCCCGGTGTCCCCGGGTAACAATG